TTTCCTACTTAATTAGCAAATATTTGGTCATTTTTAGCAATTTTTTATTACTTCCATATAGCTTTAATTTTTTTCAGTTTTAGTAATTTTAGTATTTATATGCTAATATAGTATTTATTAATGTTTTGAATTATCCTTTATTTTTATATTTTAGTTTGAGCTTTAGTAATTTTAATATTTGCTTTTGCCAATTTTATTTATTTTTATATTTTCAAATAGCTTTAATTTTAGTACTTTAACCTATACCTTTTCAGGTTTTTCATGCAATATTTATATTTTTATTGTATTGCATCTTCTTTAAATAACTGTAAATGATTTTAGCCATTTTAATTTTAATAATAGTTTAAAGGTTTTTATATTTTCATTATAGTTTTATAATATAATAATCATTAAATTTTTGCTTGAAACAAAACTGTAAAAACGTGTTAGTTGCATAAAGCTCCCGGCTCGTGTTTGGAGTCCCTGTGGCTTATCAGGTCATGTTTATTCGTGATGCGGGCTGCTGATTGGCTCATTTAACGTTAACGAGATTGTCTCTCCTTGGCGGTGAGCTGGAGTGTGGCTTCTTAATTGAGAGCGGCCGTTGAGTCACGCTCCATATCGAGAAGCTCGTCAGCTCACAGAGCCTAATTACGTACTATCTTCATCAGAACTCACGGGGAAAAAGAAAAGCAGCGTCTTCTATTGTGCTCGTTAGCCGCTGGGAGACAGGTGATGCTTATCTTTTTGTGAGTGGATCGGTTGAATCATGTTTAGCTTTATCTGACTCGTCGTTAGAGTCTAGAACTAAACGATTAGCATGTTCTCTTCCGTTAACAGTTCTTCAGTCGAAACACCTAATCAAGATGCATTTGATGAAAGAGAGAAACTCTGAAAGACTTAAATGACAATGAAATTTGTTGTTGGCTATTTCCATTCTGTATTTTAATGGGGGGGGGACTAGAAACTAGAATTGAAAAGTAGAATCTGAACCAGAATCGTTGATTGGTTAGAATAATTCCATTTTTAAAAACGCTTAGAACTTTTAATTACAGTTAATATTGTTTCAACATTTTTAAATTGAATTCTAAATTGCCTTAAAATTAATGATATGCTGAGTCAAAGTTAGTTCATAACGTTTTAAAATGTATTGTACTATTGAAAGCAAAAATATTTTATTTATATATATATATATATATATATAAATAAAAAAACATACATGTAATTTTCTGTATGTAATATATAATGTTTGGTCAAATCTGATCTGAATATGATTTCATGAAATTCATATATAAATGTAAAATGAGCCACGTTTTTGAAGTTTTACACCTTTCAGTCTGTTGTTTATTTCACATTAACATGTGATCTGGTTCCACAGTCAAGAAGAGGAGTCCTCTTCATCATCTAGTGAGGAAGAGGAGGGCGATCAGCTGCAAAACGAAGAGCTTTATGGCAAAGTGGTGTGTGTGCATGGAGTCGTCACTAGCGACAAGAAGAAAACCACATGGTATCCTGCGCTGGTGAGTCACGTATATTTGCATCAATTTGAATTATAAAAATGAATTACTAAAATTACTAAAACTGAAATAAAAGTAAAAAAGCT